AGGGATTGTTGGATCTAGGGATTGTTGGATCTAGGGAGCTTTGGCTCTAGGGATTTGTGGATCTAAGAATCTTTGAATCTAGGGATTTATGGAACTAGGAATTTGAGGATCTAGAGATTTATGGAACTAGGGATTTAAGGATCTAGGGATTGTTGGATCTAGGGATTGTTGGATCTAGGAATTGTTGGATCTAGGGATTTATGGATCTAGGGATTTATGGATCTAGGGAGCTTTAGGTCTAGGGATTTTTGGAACTAGGAAGCTTTAGATCTAGGGATTTGTGGATCTAGGAATCTTTGGATCTAGGGATTTGGAGGATGAAGAGATTTAGGGAATCTAGGAGAACTAATCCCCTATAGAATTTAGGGATTTAGAGAATCTACGGATTTGGCAGTTCAGACTTTCTTGAACCTAGGGAAATTTCGAGATTTGGTTATTCAGAAATTTAGATATTTGAAAATACATAGTCTTGGAAAATGTGAAAACTCCAAGTTTGGAAATGCAAATTTTAGTACCACTTGTTCTCATCGAAAGAAAACATATATTGTAACCGAGCTGCTCTTGTAATATTACATAGCTTCAAAGGTAATGTTTCTTTTTATAGAAACATCATTCCCATTCTTGTTTACATTAGATTTGTACCTGAAATTGTATTTGTACGGCTAGGGGCTATGGAGCCCTAGACGCGATCCTGACTGCACTGTAATAAAGATTTTCATATGGGAGTCATATATCTGAATGGAATAAGCTTATCGTGTACCCTGTAATATTACATAATTTTCTGTTTACATATGTGTATATACGAGCTTATTCTGCATCCTTCATATTACAGGATTACGTAAACACGATATGTCATGCTTATTACGAATACAAATGAGGCTAAAAGTGGAACAAATGTCGATATAAAATACGCGTTGTATTGTTGACTCTAGTTGGTTATTTATTATGCGAATATAGTCTTTGGGTCTTTATTGGTTTGTTGTAATCTTTTGTTTGGGAGAAAAGAATGTAACAAAATTGCTATTAGTGTCGTATGATTCTGTTGAGTGATATGATTCAGTTTGATAATTATAACAGAGATAATTAATGAGCATTCCTTAATTGTTCGGCACATAACAAATCGATCGATTTTCTTGTACTACGAATTCAGGTAATTAATTGTTTGATTTCGTTGAATGCTAATTAACAATTAACGCTTAATCCGTAATTACATTTCCTTTAATTCTGAATGAAATAGTAATTGTTAATGGAATGATTTTGTAATGAAAAATCGGAGCTTTATTTTTAATTACTGCTTGTCAATCGAATTATTGGCAGGTAATTTTAACTGATAGCTTGTCTAACTAATAATTAACTTACGGTCAATAATTGAAAGTTTTTGTAATTAAGATTGTGGATATAATTTTGAATCCTGTGCAACTGGAGATTAAAATTTATATTCTGAAAAAGAATTTTAATCTATTTGGACTGATAATTGGAATCTAATATGTAGTTAAGGATTAATCCAATGTTTCGAACAATGGTGTTTATTTGCAATCTCGCGCTCGCATGTTAACCTGATTTATTTGATAAATCAAACGATGTTTATGTACTCGATGTTAGCTCAATAGCAGGTTAATACCGAAAGCACATTATCCGTTCAATAAAAGGAAGCTGTTCTGTAACGTTATTATCCTTCAAATATTACAACTTAATTAAAATCCAATTTGTTACTAAAGGATTACATTTCTCCATCAAGAATAACACGAAACTAAACTCTCGTTATTAAGCAATTATAATTAATATTCCTTTCTACTCGCACGAGTTTTAATCGAAAAATGAAATTCAATCATTGACTAAACTCGATCAAATTAAAAATTAAACTTTCATTCTTAGGCAGAAGTTTCAATCAACCATTGAAAGTTAATTGAAGGAGCCTCCGGTTAAAATTAACTTTGATTTGATAAGTTTCACCTGAAACTTATACTTTAACTCTCAATTAAAAAGTCATTCGTTTAACAATTACGTTTCAACTCTCGCAGACATGATTATCGATTATGTAGTTGTTAATTGCATAATTAAAATTTTCAAAATCCTTCACAGATTGTTAAGCTGTCATTTATTATTGTCATATTATTTGTTTATCAAAAATAAAGTCTCATTAATAAAAAAATGTAAAAATATATTTTAGTGAAAAATTAATTTAAAAAGATGTATATGTTAATGTTAGATAATTGTATATGTAATAAATATACATTACATGTGTGTTATATGTATGTATTAAATTGATGTACTATACATATGCACATGTATTAGTATTCCACATATGAACACATATGTGTATGTATATGTATTAGTATTTTATTGTATGACACATATGAATATGTATATGTATGTACATTAAATTAATGTACTTTACATATGTATATGTATTAGTATTCTACATATGAACACATATGTATATGTACATGTATTAGTATTTTATACATGAACACACATGTATATGTATATGTATTAGTATTTTATTGTATGAACACACATGAATATGTACATATATATGTATATTAAATTGATGAACTTTACATATGCACATGTATTAGTATTCCACATATGAACACATATGTATATGTACATGTACTAGTATTTTATTGTATGAACACATATGAATATGTATATGTATGTACATTAAATTAATGTACTTTACATATGTATATGTATTAGAATTCTAAATATGAACACATATGTATGTATATGCATATGTATTAGTATTCTACATATGAACACATATGTATGTATATGCATATGTATTATTATTCTACATATGAACACATATGTATACATGTAAAAATGCATATCATTATAAATTATTTAAACTAATTTTCATGAAAAATATTATTTCCAAAGCACCTGATACAAAATTTTGTCACACTAAAGAATCAGCTTAGATCAAACAATTATAACAGCCGGGTAATATATTATAAACGACCTCGCTCTACCATGCCACGTAACCTCCGCAAACTTTGTGCGCACGTTTTAGATCGTTATCCCGTTGTAAAGTAAAATTACGTCCAAGTATATGCAGTATGCATAACCTGTAAAAAAGTTTTGCGATTCTGGAGCTTTGAACGCGTCGTGTACGCTTCTTGAGATATGGTACTGTTTCCGTGCTGGCGTCCTCAAATATACAATGTTGCTTAAACCGTGCTAACTCAAAACCTGCAAGTGTATTTAAAAATTCTGACGCTTTGAGCGCAATGCGATGCAAAAACACTGTTCGCTTTACTTCGCGAAACTGCACTTGTGTATTATACCGTTTTATAATTGTCTCTTGAGAATAGAGACTTTAATTACTGGGATTTGTAATTTGAACATTTTGGAGTACACAGGTTTTGGTATTGTGAAATTTGTGAATTGATGAAGTAGGGAGGTGGTAAGGTACTGAGTGAGTGATTATTATGTTTGTGGAGTAGAGGAGTAAAGTAATACGTTGTTGAATTGTCGAAGTAGTAACGTATTGAGATATGATGTTACCAGAGTATTAAAGTACCAAAGTACCAAAGTAGCAAATTGCAGGGTCCAATTGTGCAATTCCTCATCTTTCTAATTCTCCAATTGTCAAATTCCCTAATTGTCCGATTCCCTAATTGTCCAATTCCTCAACTTTCCAATTCCACAATTGTCCAATTCCCACATTGTCCAATTCCCCAATTGTCCAATTCCACAATTGTCCAATTCCCCAATTGTCCAATTCCACAATTGTCCAATTCCACAATTTTCTAATTCCCCAATTGTCCGATTCCATAATTGTCCGATTCCCTAATTCTCCAATTCCCCAATTATCCGATTTCCAAATTGTCTGATTCCACAATTGTCCAATTCCTTAACTTTCCAATTCCACAATTGTCCAATTCCCCAATTATCCAATTCCACAATTGTCCAATTCCTCAACTTTCCAATTCCCCAATTGTCCAATTCCACAATTGTCCAATTCCCCAATTGTCCAATTCCACAATTGTCCAATTCCCCAATTGTCCGATTCCCTAATTGTCCGATTCCATAATTATTCGATTCCCCAATTCTCCAATTCCCCAATTCTCCGATTTCCAAATTGTCTAATTCCCCAATTCTCCGATTTCCAAATTGTCTAATTCCCTAATTCTCCAATTCCCCAATTCTCCGATTTCCAAATTGTCTAATTCCCCAATTGTCCGATTCCCAAATTGTCTGATTCCCCAATTGTCCAATTCCACAATTGTCCGATTCCCAAATTGTCCAATTCCCCACTTTCCAAATTAGTAAATTATTACATTACCAAATTACCATCTTACCACCTTACCAAATCACCAACTTCCCTAATTCATAAACTATAAATTACTAACCTCTCAAACTACCAATTACCCAACTACCACTCTATCGAACTTCAATATCTCTAAATTTAAATACTCGACAATCTAAGAATTTCGTCACCCAATAAAATACCCGAAACCTCTCTATTTCCAACCGTAAAACCCTAAATTCCCAAACCGTCCTTTCCAAATCAGCTCAAATACTCGATACGGCGATATAACGCGAGGTCCCCCTGTACAACCTACGCTACATCAAAATATCCAATAATTTGATTTCCCTTATACGTGACTCGATACGACAGTAAAGCCTCGCCAAGCAGAAAAAAATATACATAAAGATTCATCGTTTCATGATATTCTTGTTACTTTTTAATATGTAAATCGTTCGAGAGCGGCACGAGTGCACGTCGCTTTCAGATCGCTTTTTTTTCACGACCTTTTCAACGATGCCATACGAAAGCAATTTGTTATAAATCAAACGTGTTCCGCGTTTCGAATGCATACAGAACACGTGAAAACAGCGGGAAAATTGTCGTCGGTACAGAGGATGCTTTTTAAGACGCTTTCGAATAAAAGCTCCTGGAAAAATCAGAAACAGGAGACGACAGGATGCATACAAATTCGTGTTTCGTCGACGAGATTCAATGTTACCGAATTTCTTTCATTTTTTTCTAGGAGGACCTGAAACCTCGCAAGGATGCGGGATCGGCTATCGTGGTACATGGTCTTTCTGGTCCTGCCGACAATCCTCCTGGCCAGGTCGCTCGATAAAGGTAAATAATTTTCTCGGGACATTTAACCCGCCCCATCCTGGATACAAGGATTTCCCATCCTGAATACAACGTCTTCAGAACGTAATTGCGTCCGTTTTGCCCGATGTAATTCTACCTTTATTCAAAAAATCATTCTACCTTGGGACAGGATGATCGTAATTGGATTAACCTACGTCCGATGCATTTGTGACCCAGATCGAAATTTAATATTCTGATTTTCGAATGAAGGAATTTTATTTATTGGAGAATTTTGGGAGTTTAGGTTAGTCAAATTTGTAAGTGTTAAAATGTGTAGATTTTATAATCCACAAATTTTGATTTCAACATGTCAAATTCAATGATCAGAAAATTGTGAAATGCAAAGAATTCAAAGTCCTTAAATCTCAATATAATTGTTAAATGACCTAAAACAAATTCGTATGATCAAATTACATGTTGATCAATCAGAATTGCCAGTCTTGATATAATTAACCTATATTTTTTCGTTGAGATATATGCTGGAATTTAATTTTCTCAAAATAAATGAAAATGGACCACCACTTTCAAAATAAATCCATATTTAAATCTCATGCAATCTCAAAAATCTCACTGATTCTCAAATCCTCAAATTTTTAAATCTGCAAGTGTCTAAACTTCCAAGTTCCCAAGTCTCCAAATTTCCAAATTCCTAAGTTCCCACATCCACATATCCCCATATCCCTATTCCACATATCGATATTCCACATATCCTTATTACACATAACCCGTATTCCACATATCCCTATTCCACATAACCCGTATTCCACATATCCCTATTTCACATATCTCTATTCCACATATCCCTATTCCACATATCGATATTCCACATATCCCTATTCCACATATCCCTATTACACATATCCCTATTCCACATAACCCGTATTCCACATATCCCTATTCCACATATCCCGATTCTACATATCT